GCCGGCGCCGGCGCGGAGCGGGAGCGGGAGCGGACGCAGAGCCGGGGCGGCGCGCCGGCCTGCATCCCGGAGGCCCCCGTCTTTCAAATCTCCTTTTATTGTTGCTTTTTTTCTTTTTCGGAGCGGTAGTTTTACTTCAAAGGTTCCGCGGGGCGACGCCGCCCGTTTCCGACACGAGCCGGCGCGCCCCCATGCAAACATTTTGGCACCATGTTTGGGGATAGAAGTTTTTCAAGGAAAAATGCGACTCCCCTGGTTGAATTTGTGAGGACGCTCCGCGACCAAGGCAAAAGCGAGGGGAAGAAGCTATTTCCAAGGCGTTACAACGGCCGGCTGGCGACAGTTTCGGTGCCGGTAGTGCAAAAGGAGCCTACTCCCCCGGAGTGGGAAGTCACAGAGCGGGTGAACGCGTTAAAAGCGGAACCAAAACCCAGAAATGTGGTAAGGGAGAAACGACAACGAGGTTCATCCATGGATAATTTGATGCAAGCAAAATTCATGCGCTCACCCTTTGCGTGTGAGCTTTTAATAAAATCTTCCAAGGGCATGTACAGTTCTACCTACGTGGATGTGGAGCTAGCAACTCTTGGTCTACAACCCTTGTTGCAAGAAGTTCCTATTACTCGAAAAGAGACAAAGCCATTGATAGGAGTTTCATGTTGTTACTTCAGATTGGGTACTGCGCTTGTGGTAAGTGGATGCATCGTTGAAGTGAACACCACAGACGGTACAGCACAGATAGTTCCGGACAAGGGATTGTGTCTCGATGTGGAGTGGGTGAGTTTAAAAAAGCTATATCGTATCCCAGAAGATCTCACGGAAGTAAGGAGAATAGTATCCGAAAAAGTGTACACAATTCTTCAGCGTGAGTCAGAGGATTCAGCAGCTGCGGCTCAAAACGAATTATCCACAGTAGAACAGTGGGAGGAACTTCCGCCGTCCGACTCTCAAAGCGATGTTGTTATAGAAGAAAAGGAGGTTAAATCTGAAGCTGTACAGAATGCATGAATTACATCCATCTGCGTCGAAGTTTGGTATAATGTAAGGCAATGTGGGGCCCAACTGAATCGGGTTGCCTGTTTGTCAGACAACCTTGACTGTATTGGCTCTGCCATTGTTACTCGCATTTAACTTACGACTCTTTTTGATTTGGGCATCCTTGTTTGTTTTAATGAATATTGCTATGATTAAAAACCGCTTTTTCTTAAATTTGATTTTCCTGTATTTTGCTATTTTTCATCCGTTACGTATCACACTGAGTACTCTTTTTTTTTTGATTTCATCTTTACGATGATGATGCTTAGTGGCTTGCCGATTTTTTTTAATCTTCTCTACTCTTTTTTTTCTTCTATTCATTGAGTGCTTTTCACTACATATATATACATGTATTCTTCGCGGCAGAGGAATTACATATTTATTTATCCACGAAAGTTAAAAGCATAGCTGCTAAACTTCTTCTCATCTGGTTATTTTTTTTTGGATACAGCAATTCATTAGAAAAATAACTTATGGAGTTCCAAGGAAAACACTTTGAAATTCTGGAGAACTTTTCCTCGTGAAGGGAAATCTTTGAAAGGATCATGTATGTGTAGCTCTTCTGCAGCCGAATCGGAGCAACTCTTATAAATGAAATTCAGTGGCGCTGCCCCCCATATTCTTAAAACGTATTCCACTTGGGTGCTTTTCTTCTTATTGCTTTTGGGGGCTCAAATCAGTGGATCTGGATTATGCAACCGAACTTGTAAGTCCTTTTTTTGGGCCTTCGTATTTACAACTACCTGTAGTGTGGCTGAAAATACTCATTGCTGGAACAACATCACTGCACAGAAATCTGTTGGAGCGAGGCATAGAGGCTCATACCAGTATATAGGTTACAGCCAATGGGACTCGTTACGAAGCGAATATCGTAAGAATCAAAACAGTTGATTGTGGATATGTGTATAGGCCTAGGCAGAGCTTCCTGCTGAAACACTTGGGGTGCGCATGTTTTTTTTGTGGTATTGTTCTCAAAATTGTCTTGGGTAGAATTCAAGAAACGAATTTATTAGGTAAAGCTCTTGTTTTAACAGTCTTTCTAAGAAACAAGTTTCAAGAGACTTTCTCTAAAAATTCCCTCTTCCGTGTTGAAACAGTATGGATGGTAAGAAAGGGAGCGAGAAGAAGAAGCGGTGTATTGTTGCTATTCGTATTATTTCCCAAATTTGAGTCTATGGAACGTTCCTGATATGGATGTCTTGATATAATTTGTTTGGGGTGGAAATTAGCTTGCGATAACTGTAAATGTTTTTCCGCGTGAAACCGAGTCAGCCGAGGTAAGGCGTGTTAAACCCTTCTCATAAATACTTGATTTTCTTTTTCTTCTTCAAGTTTGGGGGGGTCTTTCTCATCTGGAATACGGTTATGCTTGTATTAATGCGTTTGAAGAGCTGTTTTTTTTGTTGTTGTTGTTTTGGAGGGGAGAGGGTTATATGCATTATGTTTTATTTTAGTTTTTTTCTTCTATTTCCTCTGACGCTTTTCCTCCTAACACCGAAAATGTTCTTTTTTTTATCACACAGCGAATCGTATTTTGTTTTATTCGCCGTTTTGGATACAAGCGAAGTATGAATACTGCGGCATTGAAGTATCTTTTGTATATATATATGTATACCTTTTTATCTGCGTTGATGGAGTTGTGTCATTTCCTTGTTCGCTGATTACCTCTCTGCACTTAGCCTTTTTTTTTCTGGGTTCTTCATCTTTGTTTTTAATCATAATAATTACTTTGGAGCATTTGTTGGTTAGTTGTACCTCGCGTGTGGCAATACGAACACTTATTCTCATTTCTATTGCAGCTCCTGTTCCTGTTATTCTTCCTCCTTCTACAAATGCCTGTATATATGTATTACCCTTTTATCTTCTCCTACTCCGACATAAGGTTGCATGCCGCGTCTGCTGTACGTATAGGTGCTCTTGCGGCCTTCTATTCACCTGTGCATCAGTGGATTATTGGGAAAATCACTGCGCACAATACCAAAACAGGTACGTATAGCTTTTCCGCGACAGAGCCAGAATTTATATCGGCTGATAATTTGGCCCGGGATTCGAACAAATTGTAGTTACCTTACGTAAATGTCCTGGACGAGGACGTTGATGAACTAATTAACCTCATGGAGCTTTATGAGGCTTCGCTACTATTTTGTTTAAGGAGGCGCTATGTCCAAGATGTGGTATATTACAAATATCGGGCCTATCCTTCTGGCTTTAAACCCTTTTAATTATTCCATTCCCTGGTACCATTGAATCTAAAATGGTCCAGTACCTCTCCGAGGATCTTGTTATCGAGAAAAGCCTGCCCCATCCATGGGCCACGGCTCACAATACGTACTGGGAAATGTGAGAGAGTGGTATAAATCAGACTCTTCTTGTCACTGGAGAGAGTGGGGCGGGAGAAACGGAAGCTGCAAAGATTGTCTTGAAGTATTTAGCTGAATTAGGCACCAAAAATGGGTCGTGTGAAGATCGAGAGGCCTCTATACAAATCAACAAGCGTGTTTTGGCTGCAACGCCTATTCTTGAAGGCTTTGGGAATGCCAAGACGATCCGAAATAACAACAGTTCTCGTTTTGGAAAACGCTCAAGACTTCAAATTGATATCAATGGTGTTTTGTTAGGTTACCATGTGACAAACTACTTATTGGAAAAATCAAGGATAATAACTGCGGCCACGGGGGGTCGTGTGTATCACTTCTATCATCAACTTGTGCAGGAAGCCTTGGGGAAGGAGTTTTCTTTGCGGAATCCTAAAGTCTATCGACTCCTTGATGCTGGCGATTGCATTAGTATCTATGGTGTAGGTGATGCTCTAGAGTATGCATCCACGAAGCGAGCGATGGATGATGTCGGCGTAACCGAAGAAGAGCAATTGTCTATTTGTCGTTTTGTCACAGGCGTGGTGTTTCCTCAAAATACTGGCTTTGTGGAATCTGAGGAACGTGCTGAACGTACTGCAAAAGTGGATTAGCACCTTTTACCGGTTTTGGCACGTGCTTGTGAATTGTGGGGGATCAATGAGGAAGACTTCAAAAAAGACTTGGTTTCCACATGTATTATTACTCAAAAAGAGCAGACAGTGAAACTGTTGAACTAGGCGAAGGCATTGGACGCAATAGATTCGGTATGTAAATGCTTGTATGCTTGGCTATTTGATTGGCTTGTATTTAAAATTAACCAAACCACAAATCGAGAGGCGACTACAACGCACCGGATAGGCCTTCTGGATATCTTTTATTTTGAGAGTTTTCAAAAGAACAGTTTTAAACAGCTGTGCATTAATTTGACAAATGAGGCTCTGCAGGGCCATTATAATTCGGTACATCTTTAGATTAGATATGCGGGAATGGCAGAATAAGGACATTGACACAACGCAAGTGAAATTCGCTGACAATAACGAGTGCCTGGATTTGCTGATGGGATAGGTTGGGGTATTTACTCTCCTGGACGAAGAGTGTGCGGTGAGTGGTAACGAGGCAATCTACTTTAACAAACTTGTGGTGAAGTTTACACCTGCTAAAGAAAAAGGCGGCAGCACGCATTTCCTATGGGCCAGTGGGCGTGCTATAGATAATCACTTCATCATTCGGCATTACGCGGCGCATGCTCAGTACAATGTGGATGGTTTTTTTTAGACAAAAACAGAGACAAATAAAAAAGGGAATGAAACATATTTTTCTCCAGTCGAAGTTGTCACTAATTCCAGAGATCGTTCCAAAGGAAGATGGTAAAACAGCTTCTAAAGGAACAGTCGGGGGTTCATTTATTAAGCAGCTCCTTGAGTTGATGGCTCTCATCAATTAGAAGATCTCGCATTGAATACGTTGCATCAAGCCTAATGCTGAGAGAAAGTGCAGTAAATCCTACAGCCGTTTGGTGCTGCAGTGATTACGATCTGCAGGTGTATTCGAGACACTCAGGATACGAAAGGCGGGATACCCTATAAGATTTAAATACGATGAGCTTGTAAAACGCTACAGTGTTTTCTGCAAGGGCAGAGCGCACGGGAAAGAAGTTTGTATACAATTTCTACAAGACTGCGATATCGACATGTTACAGGTACGACTTTGAAAGTCAAAGTTCTTTATGAAGCATGAAGCTTACTCTAAACTTAATCGTGTCAGGGAGCTGGCGATTCTCCGAATTGCTTGTTTGTTTCAAGCGGTGGCCCGAGGGAGTTTGGGGCGCTGACATTTTTCTTGTGAGTATGCGAGAATACACCGCCAGAGAATGAAACAGGAAGCGCAGATTCGAGAAGAGCTACCGCGAAGACAGGGGGAGGAGGAGGAAAGCAGACGAGTGCGAGTAAAGGCTGAACGTGAGAGTCGAGAGTCGCTTCACAGGGAGCGAAGAAACAGAGCAGCTATATGTATTCAAAAATTGATTCGTGGCTTTTTAAGCAGGAATAAATCTTTTATGGTGTACCTCTATACTCTACGCGCGCGCGAGGAGCACACGCGCGACGCGGAGCGGCAAAAATATCGTCTGTAGGAGGCGACTAGACAGCGGCGGATTCGCACCGTGGAGGCTCAAATGTGGGAGGCGAGAGAGGGTCAGCAGGGGGCAACTACCACGCATCGTCGATAGTTACTCCGTGAAAGAGAGAGCATACAATGCGGCTGCTAGAAGAGGGGCGACGGTTGCGCGATGCACAACTAAAAAAGGAGCTTGCGCACGCAAAAGCACAGCATGCCAAGGAGAGTGTCCAAAGACGCAAGCATCTGCGAGAAGTGTGGAAGGGAACCTCCCAAAGGAAGCCATGGAACGTCTGTGTCGCGTCACAAATTGCGGAAGAAGGTTTCCTGGGAGTAATGCTCAAACAGTTGCGCGGCGATGTCGAAGCTTCAAATAAAACTCTCATGGAGCCCCTTCGTGATGCCAACACATCTCCTCTTCGGCAGGATTCAACATTTGATAGGGTCAAGGTCCAGTGGGGGGCAGGGGAACGGTGGATGGACGAGCGCGAGTGGATACTCGGTCCACGCCCTGAGGCGCATGTTTTGACCTTGACCTCGCATCAGCGCAAGCTTGTGGGAAATTATCGCATTCAGAGTGTGTCGAAGGTATTGTGGGAAGTGGAAGCCACTGCCGCTGCTCTTTCCTTTCAAAAGCAGCACCAACAGGGATATTGAAGCGTCAAGAAGACGTAGCACCGCAACCCCATTTTTGTCGCCTGCTCTGGTTGCATGGAGGAGAAAAGGTTGCTTTGCATCGAGCTTTTTATGGGGCTGCAACTAAGCTGCACCTGCAACACGTTCAGATGTGTGCTTTTATTATATTACATTTAATTTTTGCCTCCTCTAAGCGATGGCGAAGACATTTTAAGAGGAAAGCAGGAGGATCAGTTGAGTCCGTGCCTTGTTGCATAACTGTCTGTTATGTGTTGCTGTAATATATGAACAGTGGGCGACTAGCGCGATATGTACACGTGCGTTGGTGAGGTAGAAGGTGTGGGATGTGTGTGGGGCTTCGTAATGAGCAGAGCATAGTTGGTGCCTTTAAGTTCCACGCACTGCTCTTTTAGGGGGCTTGTGCCTACACGGTCTTGGACAGGATGTGCAAGTTAACGCCACCGGAGAACGTGGGTGTGTCTCTGGAGTGTGCTTCCTCGTTGGAGACATCGTGACGTTTCGTGGGATCACTCTATCTATTTCTGTAGAGTTTGCCGTGTCTTAAACACCAACTTGCTTGAATGTGTTTGCCAGATATGGTCACATACAGTATGTCTTTTTATTTTATTAGTATTAGTATTCGGTACTTTGTCCTCGTGATTTGACTTCTTCCCTCTGTTTTGTTTTACGATTGTTTATATTTGTCCTAACTGCGCATGCGTGTAACTGTTGCCTTCGAGCCTCTATGCTATCCCCTTTCCGCCATACCGGCAATGCGTGTGTGCGTGCGTGCACCCGAGCTGTAGTGCGCCACCGAGCAGGCGTGCGTGTCTTGCATTAATTAGGCCCTTTCATTTCTCTTTCGGCGGTGGTGTGGGGAAAGGGGTAGGGACGAGGCGACAGAAACATGAGGGGTATTTCTGCCCGGGGGAAGCTCCTCGTCGTTGTCATTGTGGCGATTCTCACGTGGTTGCTGCGGAGGTACGTGCTGAGAGTTGGACGTTTGTGCGGTGCCAAGCGAAGATGCGGGGGGAACGGCACGTCAGGCAAGACCGGGAGAGGCAAGCTGCGGCTTGCGCCGAGGAAGGTGGACCTTTTTGTTCAGAAGGCCCGAGAACAGGACGCGTCGGTGGCGGAGACGGCAGATATTGTACGGCTATTTCCAAGGCGCTTTGAAGTTCTGGGCCACGTGGTTGTGGCGAAGCTCAACTCCGGCGTGGCGCGGGAGGAGTTCGCGGTCTACGCCAAGGCGTTTGCCGCGTCCTTTTTTCCGCGCGTTGTCGATGTTGTGTTGCTGGACACGGAAGGCATCGATGGGGAGCTGCGGCTACCAAAGTTGGAGACACTCTGGGCAGAGGACGCCGCGCTAATAACAATGCCGAAGGAGTCGTTAAGGTACGCGCTAAAACAGTTTCAGGAACCGTCGTATATTTCCCAAGAGGATTTGAAGCGATTTGAGGCCTACCCAGAGTCGGTGACGTTCACAACGCACGTGGAAAACGGCATCCGGTACAGTTTTGACGTCTGCAAGGTGATGTTCTGCAGCGGCAATGGAACGGAACGCATGCACTTTGCCGCCGTTAATGCTAAGGATGAGGTGGTGGTGGACATGTTCGCGGGGATCGGGTACTTCACTGTGCCCCTCGCGAAGTCTGGCTGCGTCAAAGTCATTCACGCTTTAGAAAAGAATGAGACAAGCGTGGGGTTTCTAATGTACAACGCGCTGCAAAACCGGGTTGGGCATTTGGTTCGTGCGTACTGCGGAGATAACCGGGAGGTGGCGTCGGAGTTGTGTGGCCAGTGTGACCGGGTGATCATGGGTTACATCCCGTCCTGCAGTGCCTTCCTGCCGCGAGCCATTTCCTTCTTGAGGCGCTCGCCGCATGGGGACCCGGCTGGAACGGTTCATTACCACTTCCTCTCCGAGAAGGCGACGGCTGTGGCGACCGTCAAGCAACACGCGCGGGCGGAGCTAGGCGAGCGGGTCACGGCGTTGATGCGCGTCACGGAGGTCCGCACAGTGAAGTCGTACGCGCCGAAGCTTTTCCACCACGTCGCGGATCTCCGCTTCGAGGCGTCGTAGACGGCAGCAGCCGCAGCCACCACCACCGGCACCGCGGAGGGGAGAGGGGGGTGGCGCCAACTAATAACGGACCCCCATGCGCCAACGGAGGGAAACGAAGGGGTGGGGTGGGTGGGGACTGTGCTCACCTCCCGCCACTGTGAAGGGGGGTGGGGGCCCTGTAGTTGCCTCGTGTTCGCGTTGTGGCTTGTGCTCCTCCTCACACGCACACACCCTTTTTCTTTCCTTCCTTCTTTCTCATGTGCGTGCAAAGCTATGTTGCCGTTGTGTCTTCTTTCTTCTTTACTTTCTCTCTGGGTGCGCAACTGCAGTTTGTTTGCCAGCGACGCTCTCTTCGGCGGCGGCGGCGGCAAGAGGGAGGTTGTGGCAACTCCCTAGGAAGGCAACGGAGAAACAGGTAGTCCACTCCAGCACAAGCAAGCAAGCAAGCAGGGGATGAAGTCGTCTGAGGTGCAGAAGGACTCCATCCGGGCAGCCATCCTGATGGAGTGCGTCAAGAACAAATCCTTGGACGTCGTCTACCAGAGCTCGGTGTTGTACCAGCGACTGACCTCTCAGGAGACACGCAACCTGGTCTACGAGTGTTGCCTGGAGTTGGTGGAGGACCCTCAGCGGCGAAGGGACGTGGGCCAACTTATTCTCAACTGCGTCTCCAGTTTCCCGCCCTCGCAGGCGACACTGCAGGCGATCGCCAACAAGTGCCGGTCCTATGCCACCAGTCGAACCCCATACAGTGGCATCTATCAAGAGCTGAAGACCGTCGTGGACACGTACCTTCATCACAAGCCGCTGAGTTACATGCTTGGTCGCACGCTTCCGCGAGGAAAGCAGGGACTTATTTTTCGCCAGGGCGGGCTAAGTAGGAATCCGGATTACATTCAAAAGTGCGTCTTGCAGCCTCCCATAGCGCCGCACACGGAGAAGGGAAAACCCATCGTCCCCATCTCCAGCTGGTCCAATGAGGAGTTGGCAGTGACTGCGGGGGAAAAGAACAGAGCACGCAGTGGTTACTGGACTGTGAAGTACCACGTGGTCGGGTGCAAGGATTACATTAATCAGCTTCCATTGGAGTGCACGGAGGCTGTCATTGATCAACAGGTGCGTGTGTTGAGCTCGTTTTGGGAAAAATATACGACCAATCGGGCCTTGCTTAGAGCGACATCGTTTCTTATTAAATTAATGTGTGATGCATACGTGTCGAAAATTCCCTTGCAGTCGAACTACTCATTCTTTCGCTCTGTGAGTATATGTTATCTTCCGACGCTATTTGATCTGATGGGTAGCACCTACGTTTGTGTTCGAAATCACGTGTACGACATTTTGCTGACGCTGGGGATACACCTTCAGCTTGTGGATACGCAGGGAGTGTTTCCAGGCTGCACCGAGGCTCTGGAAGAGGAACTCATTTGGCTTCTCTTGACCGTGCTGCGAAAGCAGGCGCTTCATGAGGGCAGCGATGAGATGGTGTGGACGGCGGCCGCGAAGTGTGCCTTGACTATCATCCCTTCTCATAAACTTCACCGCATTGGTGCTTCTGTGCTGTATCAGTTTCTTACTCTTCCCACCATTATTGCATATCATCCGCATCTCTACACCACATTTGCCGAGGCCTTTGCGAAAAGGGTCCTCCGCTGGGACCCCGCCGCTGAGGAGACAGAAGACGCATTAACTCTGGATGAGGAGGAATTTAGGCAGCTGGGTCACCAGCCTGTCGCCAAGCTGCTGTACCTGTACCGTCAATCCATGACACTGGGGTCTCGCTTAGCCTTTTTCCAGGTCCTTTTTACACATGCGGTGACTCTTCTGCAAAGTCACTCATCTCTGTCACGGCTGTACCCGCGGATACTGCGGCGTTGCTACGTTGAACTAGTGAAGGTTGGGTTCCACTGGCACCTGCACCCCTTGCTTTTTTATCAGTCGCACCAGGTCTTTCGCGAGTTGCCAGGGCATATTACATATGACATGGACGTCAAGGAGATGCGAGAGTACAAAACAGAGGCGGTGGCTATTGTTGAGTGCATCTTACAACTCGTGGAGGAAGATGCACGTTTGCCTGACGCTATTATGAATGCGTTTAGAAATACGGTAGGATCACGAACAGAAGAATGTGCCGATCTTGCCACGGTGCTTACAGAGTGTTTGTCTATTATTCCAGCCATGCTAAAAGAGGATACAGATGGGGATTTGTACAATATTGGCTGGCGCATGGCGTTTTACTGCATGCGACTCAGCATGGAGAACTTGGGAAGTGAGCGAAGCACGGCAATCATTGAGAAGTTGACAAAAAATTTAGTCTCCTTTCCTGGGTCAAGGGATCGCCTGGAGTTGGCAAAGATTAGAAGTGTTTGCCCGGATGTCTTGACTTCCTTAATGCTTCTGGGACGGAAACATGCAAATCAGGCAGTAGAACCGTTTAGCACCTTAATATTGCGTTTCTTACTCGACACAGAGGTAGTTGACACACAGACAGTGATGCGGCTGTACTACCGCCTTATAGGGTGCATAACGATTCAGAACGGTCCTCTAAATAAATCGCCTGAGGCTGACATATCACAGATGTTGTGTAGTGAGCAACTTGTGACAGCCCAATCGATTGTGGAGGACATTGGGGCACGCGTGCTGTGGGCGCTTTACCGGGCGCTGTATCAGGTGCAGTTTTTTTCTGCCTGTCGGGCACGCCATGTGTTGGCCTTTTTTCTGGACGAATTGGAACCCGTGGGCGGCAGTAGTCAGGCCCATGCGTGGAAAACTGTCATGGCGGATCCGTACCCTCCTGTTGCGTTGATTGGGGCGCAAAAGATCCTGCAAATGTGCGGCAGGAGCGCGTATGACCGCTTTGACGAGGCGATGAGTATCCCGCAAAAGAGCGAAAAAGGCGATTCCGTCTATGCGCTTGCCGTCAAGGTGGCTCAGCTGGCGGAGTCGCGAAAGGAGTGAGGCTTCCGCGGACGGCGACAGTGGAACGGGAGCGCTCAGCCCGGTGCTTTTGGGACTCCTTCACTTCTTCAATTTTCGCCCGTTTTATTTTTACTCCTTCTCTCTCTCCCTCTGTGTGTGTGTGCGTGTCTGTTTCTCTCTCTCTCGCACACACACACACACACACACACACACACACACACACACGCATACCTCACTGTCCCTCCACGAACCCCTCCCCTCTGTTTTACTTGGGCGGCTCGAGAACATTTATCACTGCTTCTTCGCGTGTCTCCCGCTTCAGCAGAGTCACAAGAAAAGGGTACGACAAGGTCGGCCGGGGACAGTAGGGAAAAACAGTAAGTGCGCACACCACCGCACCGTGAGAGAGACGAAGCAAAGAAGGGGAGGTGGGAAAGAGGGCATAAAATTCAAGCGACAAACAGCAACGAAAGCAGCAACGCGAGGTGAAAGACGACGCAAACAGGTCAAGCGAGACAGCGAGAGAGAGGGAAGTAGGGAATTATGAGCCTGCCTGATGAAGAGTCTTCGTTGTCCTCCAAGTTGGCAGGAGGCGTGGCTGAGGGCGCTGCTGGCAACCCTCCAAAGCCGCCTCTTGAGGTTAGTGAGGCGCAAGCGGTGCCGAATGATAACCACGATGCAGAACAGGTCGGCAAGACACAAACGCCAGCAACGAAGTTGTGTACAGGGGAAGCGGTTGGAGAAGGGGCAGACAAGTGTGAGGCCACTCTGAATCCGCCGTTGCGCACGCGGCGGAGCGTCACAAAGGACCGTATCGAAGTGCAAAAGCCGAACAATATTCCTCGTTGCACGGTGTGTGGTGAGGATGTCCCAGTGCGTGAGCGACTCGATTACCGGGATCGTCTCCGTTTTGTTGAGTGGCTCTCCAAGCATCTGAGCAAACTGCACGACCTTGTCGTACAGTTGTTTATCGAATTTTTTATGTGGGCCCTTGTGAATATTTACTTCCGTGAGGTGACAGTTGTGAACACGGAAAGCATCCCAAAGACTGGCGCGGTTGTGTTTTATGGCAACCATCAAAATCAGTTTATAGATGCCTTGCTGATTCGAGCTAATTGTGGGCGCCCCGTGCGATTTATAATGGCGGAAAAGTCATTTCACCGCCCCATCATTGGACAATTTGCACGCATGATGCATGCGGTTCCAGTTGTTCGTCCACAGGATGTTCCCCTCATACCTGGAGAAGGATCTCTGACACGCATGGATGGCGCCATCGTTCATGGCGAGGGAACCAAGTTCACCACTTTGCTTCTGGACGGCGATGTAATCATATGGTGGAAAGGGACAATCAAGTGCACGGCACAAGTACTTCACGTTAACTCGGATACAGAGTTGGAACTCACGATGCCGGTTATGCCGTCAAATGTCGTAGGGCAGCCCACACCGTTTAGGATTTCCCGCCGCATTGATCACTCCGTCATGTACACCAGCGTGTACGAGACGCTGCAAAACGGTGAGTGTATAGGCATTTTTCCTGAGGGTGGCTCTCATGATCGTACCTCGCTTCTTCCACTCAAAGCCGGTGTGGCGCTTTTCAGCCTTGGGGCGGCAGAGCGAGGAGTCAGCGTTAAGGTGGTGCCGTGCGGGTTGACGTACTTTTATGGACATAAATTTCGCAGCCGCGCCTATCTTGAGTTTGGCGACCCCATTACGCCCTCCGAGGAGCTTGTGGCGCTCTTCAGCCGCGATAGACGCAAGGCGACTGGTATATTTTTGGAACACCTCAACGCGGAGTTGCGTGGGTTTACCATTAATGTCCCTAACTGGAGTGCTCTGAACTTTCTGCATGGATTTCGTCAGTTGTACCAGCCCCCAAATTGCATTCTGGCAACACGGGACTACCTGCGCCTGGCTCGCCGCCTCAGCGTCATCATGGAGGCAGAAAAGGACAACCCAGAATTTATCGATTACCGCAACCGTGTAGAAAACTATCGGGACTACTGCAACGCCCTTCTCGTGCGTGATAGTCAGGCCGCCACCCTTGGGAAATTGGGGTCCATCGAGGCACAACAACTGCAGCTGCTTTTCCGTCGCTCCTTTACTTTATTTTTGATGGGAGTTATTCTTGTGCCATTCTTCGTTGTCTGCCTTCCAATTGGGATCCTGGCGAGTTTATTGGCAGATCGTCAACGGAAAAAGGCTCTTTCCGAGAGCACTGTGAAGGTTATGGGTGTCGACGTGGAGGGGTCCTATAAGCTGCTTGTGGGTTTTTTTAGTGTCCCGCTTGTATTCACGTTTGTTTCCCTGGTGACTTTTTTCTACACGGATCTTCGCACAGCCCTAACCGTGTTCTTTAGCCTTCCCATGGCGATGTACGTTTCTCTCTTGATTCTTCAAGAGGCCATGATGGAGTTGCGCGCGGCCCTGCCGCTGTTGATGTCCGTTATATCGAAGCACAAGCAGTTTAGGAAGTTGTACGAGCGTCGTAAGGCGTTGGTGGCGCTCACAAATGAGCTCGTTCGCAAGTGGGATCCTGAGCTGGCAGAGGAGGTGCAGACGTACGTGCGAGAGTCGAATTGCGACATGAAACGGCGTGAACCCTCACTTTTTTCGTTGCGCCACAGCAGCCTTCGACGGCTTGCCGACAAAAATAACTGACTGTCATTCACCACCTCATCTGGGGTGCTTGATCGTTTGTAGCAAGCACTGCTTAAAAGAAAAGAAAAAAGTGGGCCTCTCTCCCCCACGTTGCACGCCAATGCTGGTCGCCAACAGGCCATCTGTTTCTAGGCAGCTCAAAGTGTTACACGTGCACGAACAACATATGCACATTTACTTGGGTTTACTTTTTATTTATATGTGGGCGAGACCCAGGTGAGTAGGCGTTATTGCTATTAGTGTGGTATTTGTTCGCTATTTTGCGTGGGAGAGTGCCTTTTTTTCCCGCACCTTTTTCCTTTTTGTCGATGTTGCTTGTGTGGGGAATTAATTTCGAACTTCATCTGCATCTCGCTCTAATTTTTAAGTGCCGCATTTTGATGTGTTTATTGTTATGGTGGTGTTGCTGTGGGTGGATGCTCGTCATCAGCGCCCTTCCGCCCTGCTGCGGCTGCTTGTGCGTGTCCTCCTCTCCCCCTGAGAGGCACCGCCGTCTCTTCATGTGATGAATTATTATTGTTTATTTATTTATTATTTTTTGTGTGTTTTTTACTTTTATTTTTACTGTTGTTTTTAATCGCCTCGACTGATTTATTATCGCTTTTCTTCTTCTGCTTCTTTGCGTTTCTGCTCCTTTTATTTTTCACGTGTCTCGACGGCGTTGAAGGTCGAGGGAGCTAAGGCGAAGGTGGGAGCGCCGTTGCGGAGTGGCGGTGGTCGTCGCGCTGCTGCTGGGCTCTTGTCGTGTTGCGCGAGGGCGGAATGCAGGCGATCATCACCACCGCGACGTCGCTGGGGGGCGAGGCGCGGGAGCAGCGGGAGGTGAAGCCCGCCGCTGCCCCCGCCCCCGACTGGGCCACCATGTACACGCGCAAGCCCGCCGGCACCAGCAC